TGGCAGGTTGACCTACTATTTGGCCCAACAAGTTGGCGAGCTTGACAGGACAAGCATGATAGACCTAGCCTACTAATTTTTTAGGAGTTAACGAACCAACCCGCAAGTCAATTTGCTATCCTTATATAGTAAATGAATAAATTGCACAACTTCTTTTACAGTAAATATCTACCTTATTATCATAAATGATGAGTCGACCACACAAGTAGTGACCAATTAAAAGAACTATACAACTTGGTAGAAATTCAATTTACAATGTAAGAAAAAAGAAAAGAGTTAAACTACATAAACTTTTCACACAAAAGCACAGAACAAGTACAAACCGAAACACAACCCCTTGATCAAACTCCACACGTTGTTGAAATAGAAACTTCTAAGCTTTGCAGCAAACGAAACGTCCAATTCCTTTAGGTGCAACCCCTTCAGCATCCTCCTCATAAATCACCACCTCCTTTTTGTGCTTCTTCTTTGTCTCATCTTTAGGCACCGTGATGGTCAACACCCCATCACACATCGAAGCTTTAACTTCATCAACATTGCAATTCTCAGGCAACCTGAACTCCCTAGAAAACATTCCATTACTCCTCTCTCGGCAATGCCACATCACGTTCTTCTCCTCCTCCTCTTCTTCTTCTTTTCCTCTTCTCTCTGTTTTGATGCAGAGCACTCTGTTTTGCTTCACTTCAAGCTTCACTTCCTCTTTGGTGAGCCCGGGAAGATCGATTTCGAAGACGTGGGTGTCACGAGTCTCCTTCCAATCCATTTGAGTGTCTGAATTTATGGTGAATGAGGCTCGGAAATGATCAAAGGGGTCGTTTTGGTTCAACAACAGGGGTTCGAACAGAGACATTTTCTTTTCTCTGTTTCCTCTGTTTTCGGATATTGAGTTGAATGAACGAGAGGCTTTCAAGTGGTTTTTGTAGGGAGTGTTTGAAACGTGAGGTTTCTTTCGTATTGATTTTCTTGTTTCTATGGTGTGTGGGAAAGTGTGTATATAAAGTGTGCGTAGGTTGAAGTGGCAGGTTCTTGAAAATTCTGGATTTTCATAGAAACAGTGTTGTTGCTTGTTTCAGGGTCAGAGGAGAAATGTCTAGTTGCTGCAAGAAACGTTGGAAATGGAAACTCTAAACTATATTTCTCATCCCTTAATAGTAACTAGTAAAGTTGAAGTACGTGTATCTTTTTTAATAATAAAATAATAATAATTTTAAGAATAACTATATATCAATTATAGTGAGAGAAAATAAAATATAATGAGATTAAAAAAAAGAGATGTATAAAAAGAGAAAAAAATAAAAAAAGATAATTATGTAATTAATAAAACTTTTTTTTACTTATAATAACAATGTAATATATAATTAGTTAATAGAAATTTTTATTTAAAAAATAAAAATTTTATTAAAAATGAAGATAAAAAACAATTGAGTGAGAAATTATCTTGTAGTTTGTGAGCATAGTTCGGGATTTTTCTAGAAAGGAAAAGGAAGAAAAAAGAAATTATTTGGTTCGTCAACGAGGCCTGGAAATGCTATCTCTAGTCCCAAGATTAGGTTTCTGTAACGGGCTTAACTTTTTGATTTTGGGTCAGTGTATTGGACCTTATTTCATTTGAACACAAAAAAAAAAGTTGTTATTCTTTTATAAAATACTTCAATATTTTTAAGATATAAAAGTGTATTTGGATAAATTTTTTTAAAGACACTTCTAAAAAAATGTAAAATAAACTAAAATAAATTTTTCAATAAAATAAAATTAACTTAAATTATAGAAATTCTCTCATATTTGTTTCTCTAAAACATATTTTAAATTTATATAAATTAATTTTAATTTATAAAAAAATTCCCCTAATAATGATAGTACACATAGCGGCCATATTCAATGGATTGTGTAATAGAAACCAAATTGTTTATTCATATAAGACAATTTTTGGTGCCCAACAAGGTTATGCTACCAAATAAAATAGAAAATTGGAAAGCATTTATTTGTGCTTGTATATTAATTATTGAATATAAATCATAAATGAAGCCACTAGTTGCAACCCCACCACTCAGTATGAAAATGAAGCCCCTTGCTGCTTGTTCTTTAACAAGTTGAAGTGGTCAAACAAGATGGACCAAAAAACCATACTGTCAAATACCCCATACTCACGTCTATATTCAGATGTACAACTAATAATGTTTAATATGTATTTTTTTAACTAACAAAATTACAAAGATCATAATAATGTTCAAATTCAAGATATTGTATATGTTATCTCAACTCTACCATTAAGTTGATTCTAATAATTCATAATGTTTAAAACTTGTATGTAATAAGACTGTAAGAGGAATGTTAACATGATTCTCTCTAATAATCTCTCTCTAAAACATTTTATTATTATTATTATTACTTAAAAGGAAGCCTCGGTATATCATACCAATAATAATAGTTACTAGCATTATAAATGAATATATTTGTAGCATATTAATATATTTTCTCCGAATTTAAATATAAGTAAAAAATATATATTCATAAATGAGAACTAAAATATAAGCAAATGTTAACTATTTTATCATATTTAATGATATTTTCTTCAAAATACACTTTATTTTTCTTATATTGTATTTTTAATGTCTTAGTATAAATATAAGAAAAACAAATTAATTGATATTACCAAAATTAAATTACACTAACTATTTTTTTCAAATTTGAGCATAAATTAATTAATTTTGTTTATATTATCTAGAGCAGTAGTGTGGTATGGTTGACTAATAAAAGTCTTTTAAATATGTGATTAAAAATTTGATTTTTATATAATATAATATAATATAATATAATATTATATTATATAATATAATATAATATAATATAAACACGCGCGGTAGTATAATAATTAAGTATTGTTGTCCCAATGTTTGAGTATAGGGTGGTGGGATTCAATCGCTACTTATTTCTCTTTGATAAGGTGTCACTATCACGTTTTCAG